TGATAAGAAATAGCTCTGCAGCCATCCTACTGTACAGTATATTCTGTAGCATAGATATCGAGCAGCCAGAATCAAGAGAGACCATGTTCCAGTTTTCCCCTGCCCTGTTAAATATTATTAAATGTGCAGTTATTATTGTGCTTTTAAAAATCTTTGTGTGGTGGAAAAATATTTCACAGTAGCTTTTCATTTCACTTGACTAAATCTTAATGTACACAGAGAAATGTCTGACATGACACCTTGCATGAAGAAAGTGGAGTGAAAGAAAAAAGCACAGAGCTTGACCTGAAAAACTGTGATTCACAGAGCAGCAGTAACAGCAGCTGATCATGTCATGTCATCTATTTTCTTATTCCAAAACTGAATGCAAACTGCAAGAATAGAGTATTATTTTCTTTCTAAGACCTGAAAATCACGAATTCCCTTATTTTAGTATTCATACCTGGTCCCTGATACTTTTATCTTTTTGTCTGACCTTGATACTCCACCAATGCTGACTGAAGTGGAGCAGGATTGAGCACAATGCTGTAGACTAATCTCATATCAAATCCTTTTATAGAGTTAAAACACTCTTTTTAACATCCCTCTATGTGTGTGAGATGGGTTCTGCATTAAATGAATCAGAACACTTCACTGCATTTCACATTACACTAAAAGTCTTACCTTTACCTTACAGATTAGCATAGCATGAATTTGTTTTAGGGGATTCAATGAAGGCGGCACCAGAATTTCCTCAGCTCTGAGAAATGCAAATACGGTATGTACTGTATAGCAGAAAAAAAGGTAAGGAAGGTTGTCAGTCACACTGATGGAGATCTTCAGCGTGGACTTGCTTAGTATGACTTGCCTTAATAAACTGAAGTGCCAGTGGCAGTCAAGATACACATCGTAAACTGTTTGCACCTCACTTTTGTGAAATTTGACTGTGGTTATGCCATAGGAAGTGACGTAAAGTGGGTAAGGGTCAGTGAAGCAGAGAGAAATAATCGTGAAAGAACAGAAAGTAAAACAGAAGCTAAGCAGGCACAAACCAATGTTACCTCTAAGCCGTGGGTGTTATGAACAGGTCACACAGGTTACACAGGTTATGAAATTAGCGCACATAGGAAATTGAACTGCGCACAAAAAATGTTATTCCCAAATATGATAATAATAAAACAAACACGGTCGTCAACTGAAAAATGCTAGCTTGACCACAGTAGACTGGCTGTGAGAGGTCCAGCATGGCTGTGTGCGTTATAACTGCTGCTCGATCATCGATATCTCTGCTCTCGTAGTCTCGTACCTCCCTGCTCATGCTCGCTCCATGACTGGGCTTGTTGAATCGCTGTTCCGGTCTTTTGCATCTCTATGCTTCTGTGAGATTGACTATTAACAAAAAATAATTTCAGGTTTACAATTTTACAATTTTACATACACTCAATTTAGTGCACACACGTTTTGGTTACTGCTTGAATTTTTTGCACACACAGGCCATTAAAAATTAGAGGGAACATTGGCACAAACCTAGCACAAATGTGGTACAAACCGCAGCAAGATATAAGAATGGTGAAACTGTCACAACGCTGCACATCTAGAGTGCAGTAAACTCTCAAACAGGGTTATGGGTCTGTATTTCTAAAAGGAATCAGTTGCAGAACACGGGCAGGAAAGTAATCTGCTCACCAACAAGTGCACATGAAATACAGAGAACGACAATTGTGAAGTAGTTCACCTCCCTTTGTTTTATTTTCTCAACTGTACTGCTCTTTGTAATCACTCTTTTGTGACAAATCATTTTTCAGACTTCAAGTTCAAGTTTATTGTCATTATACTCATAGACAGGTACAGTATATGGTATAACGAAATGCTATTTAGCTAGCTCTCAGACGGTAAGTAGTACAAAAAACAACAATACAATTGTATAATAACAGAAAGACAGAGACAACAGGCAGTGTGCAAAAACAATAACAGGCAATGTGCAAAAACATGCATCAACAGAATGAAATAAAAGGATAGAAATGACGGGGAGTGAGCTTCTTGACATGTGAGGTAGAGGTAGATCTCAATGTGTGTTTGAGTTTTTGGTAAGAAAGAAAGGAAGAAGGCACTGTGAGGTTCAGATGATAGGTGAGAGTGAGAGAGGGTTTACTATCACATTTCAGTTTGTTTAGGAATATCCTGTATACAAGATGAGATATTTCAGTGGAATTCATTAGACTCGCTTACTCAATAAACTCATGTTGATTAAAATTAGCATCTTGTCATCCTAGTGCTCCATACGAATGTTCACTGTAAACATGATTGTAATGATAATCCATAGCTTGTCTGTTTGTATTAGAGTGGCACATACACAGTAATTTAAAATTAAGACTGGGCAGAAAGTTTTCATTTGAAAATAAAATGCATGTTTCATTTAGCTGAATTACTCTTGTTCCTAGTTTTGGGGTCCCGGGCTTGATTCTGTGATGGTGTGCTTTCTGCGTGGAGTTTGCATGCTCTCCCTCTGGTCAGGGGTTTTTGTGTTTCATGTGTGCCTGTGTCCTGGCATCCCACCCAGGGTGCAGTCCTATTCCCACAGGCTCCACAAGGTATAGCACACCTTACTGCAAATAATGTAAAGTGATCATTTTGAGACAGCCTTCTCTTCTTAATTCCAAAATGAAACTGCCTGAACTTTCTTTTCCTTCTGGCTATTAGTACCGTAACCCATAGCGACCCTTAGTCACCCTGCCAAGCCTGTGTACATTGTTCAGACTGTCCAGACTGTTCTTCATGACCTTCAGCTTTCCAAAAGATTCTTAGCTTCTGAATATAATAATGAACCATGCAGAAAACTGCAATTATAAGAGAAGTACAGTAAAAAGCAGACTATGGATTATGCAAGCAATCTATTATGTAATACTGAACTCCCAAGTGCATAATAATCACGGTAAGACTTCTGAGTTTCTTTTGCTTAATGAAGTGTACATGAGAAATAAAATGCTACTCTCATGAAGTATTACGTTAAATAAGGATACAGAACAGTGAGCTCTCTCTGTAGTGTTATCAGAGCAATACAAATTTCAAGAAAACAGTGCTGGTTACCTGTCATATCTTACTACTCATTTTAAGTGAATCTTTGTAAATAATCCTGGGTAACTTTAAAGAACAAGAAAATCAAATTCCCTCATTTTCCACTAAAGCAATGTTACCTTCTCAGCAAGTGTGTGTCCGGGAACATATTATATGATAACAAAAACTTTTCAGTAGTCTTGCCACTGTGCTAATACAGTTGCGGAAAAGCCACTAAGCAAAACGGAGCAAAAGAGATAATGAGGTTCAAATGTAAAACCAGCAGGAAAATGCTCTATTTCAAGTTAGCACACTGCACACACATCTCCCTGCCCTTCTGGGTATCCCCCTGTCTGTTCACCCATTTGTCTTTCTCCACATGTGCAAATGTCTTAAACACTCGCTGTTAGTTTACAAATCGACACTAAATGTCCCTGGTGCACTGTATACAGTACACTCAGACAGGAACTCAGAGAACTCCGTTTCACCTCTCCTGATGACTGTCTTATGATCTCTTTATGATCTCTTTGCCTGCTCCTCCCCACATCTGCAGAGGCTGCACGGCCAGTTTGTGGTGTTTTTTCCTCTTTTTTTATTTGCAGTGTGGTATTAACCTCTACTTGCTCCTTTGCAGCTCGTACACTGACGTGGGTCCCCATTCTGACCTCTGTATTTACACTGTATTTAAATACTGTAGATTTCAGTGCTGGATCTCAGGACATTCTCTTTATTTTTACACAGAGGTTTGTGATATTGCAATCTGGATGCACTATTCAGGGCTTGTTTCCTGTACACCTGGGCTCTTGCTGCCCAGTGTTACTGACATGGGTGTTTCCCAAAGGGTGGTGGAACCTATCCAGCACAGTCTGCACAGACCCTGGGCGAGAGGACTAATTCAGCACAGAGCCCCGCCAGCTGATCTTCGGCTTTGATCAACACTGCAGCTTTACAGCACTAGCTTGGAAGCACCTGGGGAGTCAGGACAAGACAGTGGAATGGGAACCCCCCCCCCATGACCAGCTTTACTAAGAAGCTGAGATGGAGTAGCCACCTCATTCCCCCCAGAATGAACAAATCCAACTCTGAGGCCACAGGTAACACATATTTGTACTGTAGCTCAAAGAGGTTTCTTCATGACGGCAGGACTGTGGAAGGGACAGTGATGATGAAGCTCAATTCCTGTTCCCTGGGTGCTGCAGATGTTCGTACCTGCACTCACCTGGGCACTGGGCACTGGCCTCTGCTAGGGGGGCTCTTGGGCTCTTTACAAGAAGGCCCAGCTTCCAAACGGAATGAGAGTCATCCAGCTCCATCATGTTGAGCTCACACAAGGGCCAAGCAACTACTGCACCGCTAACAGCTCACAGTAGCCGTGTTCAAGCAATGCTGAAGCCAGCCTGACACAGGGATCGGCATGGAGGGCCACACGCAACCTCTCGGTGCCAGGAATCAGGTGAGTTTTTAATCCAATTTATGGATCACTTTTTTTTTCTTCTCCTGAAGCGTCTGCACTTGCACGTATAAACCCTGCTGTGGGTCAGCGCTGGCGTCGCAATGATAAAAAGGCAATCCTACCCACCAGCCCTTGTGTGCTGCTGACAGCAAAGCCTCCATCATCTGCAACATACTGTACTGTACTTCATGTCAAACGTGACTGACGCAAAGGAGCAGTGCATGCGTCTGATTGAAATATTCCAGAATAAGACCTTTTAAAATAATAATAATTGCTTTTAAAAGGATGATTAACCCCATTTCCCGGGGGCTGACATGTTGGGTAAGAGGCTTTACGGTTTTATTTGGGTCATTTTTAGCTCTTTTCAGAAAAGGCACATGTGCAAGATTCTGCTGGTTGCACAAAAAATAGTACAAATCGTGATTTCCAGGAGAAAAACATGATTACAACAGGATTGTAAGGGAGAAGTAGTGAGCCAGCAGTAGATAACAGGCAGTGGTCCCACTAGGTACGTGTGCTCTCTGGGGATTATGCCAATGAAGAAGTATGTTTCCTTTTTATAGTGGAAGACTTGAGCTTAGTTTCTAAATCTTGGACTACACGGTTGATTCGTCACAATATAAACACAAAAGCCAAAAAACAAAAGTAACAACATGAAAGCACACATGCTTAGACTGAGTTAAGACCAGGCTGAGCAAACAGCTCAACTCACTTGAAAGGCATGCCTGTTCCGCCAGCCGAGTCTCGCGCTTTCCCGGGGTGTGTCGGAGTGCGCGTGGAGACTCCGGGACGCACCGGGGTGGGCGATGGCACGAGCGGCGCCGCGGAAGGTAAGGAGACGCGCGAGACGTGAATTTGGGATTTTTGCCCCGCCGCCCCGGGGGACGGAGTTGTTTCCGTGCGTGTCCTGTGGGGCGGTCAGGCCCGAAGTTTGCAGCGTCCTGTAACTTGCGTCTTGCTTCACAGCCACTGCTAGGGGCAGCAGGCGTTGCTGGAGTGGTGTACTGTATGTGTGCCACTTTTTAATTTTCACTGCACCTCGCGTGGAAACAGGCTTTGAGAGCGGCCTTAGCCCCCACGCTAAAACATATATGTTAAAAAAAAAGAAAACCACTTTTAAGCTGACTTCCTCTGGCAATCTTTGTTTTGTTTTGGTTTTTTGGGGGGCCATGGAATAGGTTTCGTTTTGCAGGCTGTGGAAATCCCAGCCCCTCTTTGTGAGCTCAGTTTTAAACTTCAGTGTGCCGTGACACTTGGCGTTTAAAACCCACTCCGAAACTGTTAGCGTCGCCCTAAATCCAATACCGTTTTAAATGAGTGCACTTGGAGGCTTTGTGAAACTGTGCGACGTACCGGAGAAACGAAGTTGGCGAGCGTAATTGCTTTGGGAGAGCGGGGATCTGTGAACGGGTCACATGGATTTCGGGAGAAAAAAACTAGGCAGTGTAACCTGATAAAGTCACTGTGTTAGCGGGGTGTCCCGAAGGCGTCTGCCCATTGGAGATTGCGTGTCTGCGCGAAGAATTCTTGCAGTTTTCCGAAATGCACAACTTTAACAACCCCTACTCCTGTGCAAGAAACTATTAAGATTGTAGGCCGCCTTACAAAACCAGACTTGTTTGTGTATCTGATTACAGTGGTGGATATTAATTGCTCAGCCTCCAGCTCCGAAGGCGTATCTTGTTTACATGGTATCATTCATTGGAGGTGGGGGCTTAAGCGCTGTGTTGCTGTATTGGAATGAGAGCCTAGGAGTTTTCATTTAACAACAACAACAACAACAACAACAACAACATTTCCTTTCTTTTCGCAATGTCAGGGCAGTTTTTTTGGGGGGGATTTCCAAGTTGACAAGCGCACTTTTTTATTTCGAATAAGAAAGCGGTATGCTGTATGAATGTCTTCACGGTGGACTGTCCGTCGGGCTCCAGTCCACCTCTCCGTGGCCAGTGCGGCCAGCGCAGCTCTGGGCGAATGTCCGACGTGGAGCGGAGATGACCCACTTTATTGTGGCGCTGCAGGATAATTGATGAGGCGGGGTAGTGTTGACCACACTGCATTATTGCGAATAAATCACCCATAACTGCGGTGCAGCCTTATATAATAGTTGACGAATTACTTCTCCTTTGAAAATTGGCAGCTATTAAAAGTGACAGCTTTTATCCGAATTAAGGTTAACACTTGTACTCGGGAGAAGTCTATTATTTCGAAATAAAACCGGCAGGTGCTCTAGCCCACGAGTAATTAATGATTGGCTCTTGTTCTAGACTTGATTCTTGACAGGAGAAATTGGCATTCCAATTATATATTTTTTCCTTTTTGAAGCTCGTTTGACACAGTGCCCAAGAGAAGCCGGCATCCGGCTGTAAAAACCCGCACCGTGAACATCAAAGGCCACGATGCGTTCGCCTTCTTCCAAACTATTTAAAGGTAAATAACACGTATAAGAGATTCGTCTGGAGACTCCGTTACTTTCTCTCAAAAGGACAGCGAGGACCCAGCAGTTATAGTAACTTAAAGAAGCACAAGAAATCTTACGCCGTCGAAAGGTCATTCTTTTCTTGAATTTCTTTGTGGACTTTTTCAAAGCAAACAGTGAAGCACAAACCGGAGGACACCAGTGGAAAACACGTGGAAGTGCATTTAAAACAGAGAACAGGAGACGATCTTTTCCGTAAAGAGTTGTGGGAGTATGTAACAAGCTACAGTACACAATCCTGTGTGGTTGAAGCCATTAGATACTTTGGGTTCATGTGCGATATGATTGGATGGGATTCTTGGATCAGTGCTAAATACCAAACACACTGCATGGGAACAATGCTCCTCTCATTTGTAACTTTTTCATGTTCTTATGAACGAGAAAATCTCCACTCTCTTACTGGTTTTATCTGTTTTTTTTTTTCTTTCTTGTGGCTTGTGTGAATTTACCTAGAACAAAAATATTATGAATGTTGCACCATGTTTGATCATTTATCAGCAACAATAAATGTGTTGATGAGCTTGGACATTTATTACCTTGGCAAAAGATGGCTTTACAGTACATTCAGCGCAGTAATGAACATACAGTACACTGATGCACATTAGCTTATGCATTCTGCTGCTTCCAGAAAGCTGTTTTATTAATCCGTTAATATTAATGTATTTCTTCACTTCTGCCTGAGCTTATGAGCCATATGCTTTTTCAAAAACTGTTAAGTGGGGTATAACAATTCTGCAGGAGGCAAAAACAAATATTTCAGTGTATTTTGGGAGTTTTTGTATTGTCTTTGTACAGTACGTGGCTACCCCAACGCTTAACCAAAGTGCAGCCGCACTGTTAATGAAACATGATTACTGTGCTCCTCAGTGCCTGACAGAAGATGGCTGGAACACCAGGAGGACTCGACTGCAGACTGTGCCTCTGCGTCTCCTCTCCCCGTGGCTCTCGCTGTGCTCCTGCTGTTAGTGTCTCCCACACGAGACGTTGTTTCACTGGATAAGGCAGTAATGGTCGTGTTTGCTCATTGATTACAGTGAACTGATATTGTGAGAAGCAGACCTCCGATGAAGTAGAGGCTCAATGACCATAGCCTGGCTATCTAAACTGGACACAGGCGGGCTTGGCTATCCAGTTAGTACAGGCCCAGTGACCACAGCCGGACCACAGAAACTGGACAGAGTCAGACCTGGCTGCCCAAAGAGGACAGGCTCACTGACCACAGCCTGGCCATAGAAACAGGACACAGGCAGACCTGGCCGTCCGAAGAGGACAGCCTGTGCTCCCACTGCCAGCAGGGAGAAGCAGAGAAGAGATGCACTTTCTGCTGCACTCTGGGATTGAAACTAGAAAAACAATCCCAGAATTCTCACACCTGTCAGGATCAGAACAGCTTCCAGCCCTTCAGGAGGAGGAAACTCCATAGAGCTGCATCCCAGTACTGTATGTGATCTCCTGTCGCAGTCTGAGGAACAGAGAGTGAGCCTCTCAAATAATAGTTTTTATTGTAAATGCCTAATATTGTTTTTATGTTGTAAATGTCTTTAAAGGTTTTGCTAATTTTATTGCTTTGAACAAATCTAAATTTGTTACCATCTTGTTTGTGGGCTCTCAATGTACTGTACCACAGCAGGTTTTCTTGTATCACCATTGGTCAAGGTTGCAGGGGCTTACAGTGTACAGTATACTTCTTTGCAAAATTACTAAAACTTGCTATCTGGCCCTTTGTCACGATCGCTAACCCCTCCTCTTAAGGGCGCTCCAGCCCTTCCTTGTTTTCTCCCATTACAATAGGTGCACCTGTTCCCTATTTCTGTTCCCCCTTAAAACCCAGACGCAGACTCCACTCCTGGTTCCTTATTGATTCCCGTTTCATGAGACCCCGGGGTCCTGTTGCGTCTGGCTCTGTTATGGTTTTAACCTTCTGTTCCTGATTCCCCGCCCCACCGGTCCCGACCCGGTTCATGCTTTTATTCCCTGGATGGATCTCCTGGCCTTGGACTCTACTCTTCTGTTTTGGATTCCCCGTTTGGACTTTGTCTTTGTTTGTTCGCCCCGGACTCACTTCCCCAGGACACCTGCTCACCTGGGACACGCCCCCCTGTCTCCAGACCCTCTCCTGCATGACTTCTTCCCCAGTGTATCTTCACAATTCTGGATCATGTCGTCTGCATAGGGCCCGGAAAGAACTGTTTTGTGACACCCTTTTGGGAAGAAATCAGGAAATTGTTATTAGAATGATAAATGATAATTCTCAGATGACATTTTACCTGTCAAAATCAGGACCAGTGGGCTGTTCGCATTGTTTCTGGCACTGCGTATTTCACAGACCACAAACGATTTGAGATATTAAAACTCATGGATATTAGATTGGAATCCTTGGTGTGATGTGGAAATAGGTGCTTTAATTCCCCTTGTTTGGGGATGTTCTCTGAATGTTTCCAAATGGCAGTGGAAGTCTGAGTTACAAATGTAACAGACAAGCCAGGACAGTGAATGATGGCCGATCCAGGAGAGTTTTAATACTCTGGGTATCCTGGGTGTAGAGATTTTTTAAATATACATCTACAGTTCTGTAGATTCAGTTTGTACAGTTGGTTCAATCTACAGTTAGCACATACTGTAAATGTGAGGTGCTTTGTAACTAAAATTTCATGATTAAACTTGTAGATTACCGAAGGTGGTCAACAGTGTTGCTGGGAGTGTGGGAATTCAGACTGTTGCAAAAAGTAAGGTAATAGATTTAAAAAAGGAAACTGGGAAAACAGAAATTACTGTATGTATGGCCAAGCTAAAAATATGTTGTCATTTCAGGCCAAATTTCTCTTGATCATATCATAAGCTGGCACCTTTCCCTCTAGTTTGGCAGTGCACTTAGAAAGCCTTCCATACAATGAAAACTCTGCAAAAGGGACCTCTGAGGGAAAGCCCAGTCTCTACACCAGGCCTTCATTGCACTGACCTTGCCAATGGGTTGTGAAATTAGACACAGCATGTGGTCTGTCTGGGCCCCTGTGTGGTCCAGGCTCAAAGAGGCAGGCCTCTGCTTGTTTGATGATGGGGAGCGAACAGATGCTATGTGCGTCTATGTGCAGTGTACAGCATATACAGTATATACTGTATACACGGGTAGTTCGTTAAATCATGAAAATGGCAATGTTGCTTTCTTAACTTGGGAAGCAGCTTTAGAGTTGTTGAACAGCTGCATTCACTGCTGCACAGATTCATATTGGCCAGGATGACAATGGCAACAGACAGAATGAGCTTTTTTGGAATGTTAAATGTGCTTACTTCCTATTTAGTAAATCTTATAAAAATGAATTGGAAGTTTGTGTATGTTATTTAATGCTACATTAAATTTTATGATGTTAATGAGTCTGAAGTTACATGAGTTTCTTTTAATTTGTTAAATAAATGTACATAGCATTTCAAGAGCAGTCATGCAGGGACCCATAAGCTACACAAAGTGCTTTTACTGTAATGATTATAAAACTAGATATTGATACTCTACATCTTATTAAAGTTCAAAGGGACTTTCTTGCAAGAAAATCATGCAGAGTGCACTCATATTACAAACTAATAAGCAAATTGCAGGAGATAATCTTCTTAAGATGCTTTTTTCTCTTTGTTCTTTGCTACTGAATAAATTAAGAAATACAAATGTTAATTAATCACGGAGGTTGGAAAAATTAATAAATAAACACAGATGGAAAATTTATATTCAAACGGGTGTTGCCAATTAATTTTATACTTGACCCATTAATCATCAGATTAAATTGACAACAACAGGGAATTGAAATATGAAATTTAAATTATTTTTTGATAGGGACAGTCATAAATTTGAATGCACTGAAGCACATGGAGCATTATTCTGCTTCACTGCTAAACTGGTTTATAAAAGGCATCTGTTTTTATTTATATTCACACATTATAGAGATTGAGAAGAATAAAGCAAGTGCTTTGTAAAAGAAAATCACTAGCGCCATCTCCATAATCTTTACCTCAGTGAGCTTCACCCAAGTGAGAAAATGAGAATTATAACCTGCCAGGCATCAATGACAAAGTGAAATGGAAAGACTGAGGGTTAATAACAGTGATACCTCACAAAAAAAATGTGCTGGCCAATTTAACACACCTTCAGTCAAGGTCACTCCTTTGAAGCTGATTATTCTTAGCAATTTGCAGGTGAAGACACTTTATTTTGATTTCATGGTTAACCTAAATCACGAAAATGATCATTTTGATTTAACATTCTGGATTATCTTTTCAGGTAATGAGCGAGTCACAGGCCCTGGCTATTTTTAAGATAGTTACATCTTACAACAGAAGAGCTTCCCGTTTACCTGGGGGCCCTGTTAGTGATCCAGGTGCAATAAGGAGAGCAGCACAGAATTTCTACAGAAGGCTAACTGGTGCTCTTTTCCTTTCTTTTCTTAAGGGATCATTAGTAATAAACCTCAAGCAGGGATTTGAATCTGTCACCTTCATTTAGTCTTCCCTGCTGCTTAAGTGACATTTCTGGAGTTTTATTTTGCTCTTAGTGGCTAGTGATAATTTCATTTATGTGAGGGTAATTTAATTAACCCTCTCCCTTGTGATATTTTTTCAAAATACACTCTTTCTTATGTTCAGCTCATTCTGGGTACAGATGTGCTACTACTGTACCTTGGGAGCACACAAGCTGTTTTCTCTGATATTTAAAGTGACTTTGGTTGGAGCCGAGAAAGATGAGGCTTCCCTCTGGGTGTGCAAACTACTGGATTCAGCGAAAGAAACTCTTTTTCAGAATTCTCTCCTGTGCCCTGTTCTCCCACGCAGTAGTTTTTCATATAGTCTTGACATGAAACTCGAATTCTCGTAAGTGTGCACGGAGGTACAGTATGAATAAAAATGCAGGCGAAACCACCATACAGTACACAGTGTACATGTGTGTACAGGGCATCCAGATTGCTGACCTGATAGAGCGTTGTCCTCGTGATGCAAAGGTACTGTATCTTGTTCGGTCCACTCCTGGCCAGTGCGCTGCGTAACTATTCTATTCCTCCTCATGAGGACTGACCGTGGTCACGATTGTCATTTATATATACTGTAGTTAGAAAAACATTGGCTGCCAAAAGGTGTAAAAGGCATCCTCATATCCGTGAGTTGAAGAACAGGCAAAATGACAGGAGGATATTGGACCCGTCTTGAGTGCAGGTAGCCCAGTCCTCTCCAGTCTGATCCCGTCCCCCAGCCGAGAACCTTAGAGGTCCTGTCTGCTGGGGGGGAAGGGCAGTTCTTATCACTGGCCTTCCCTCGTCCCTACCAGGTTGTGAAAGATGCTTTTCTGACTCCAGAGCTGGTCCTGTCTCCCCACAGCTGTTTCAGCAGGGCATCGGACTTCACTGCAGGCCTGTCACTTCGTTGACTGCAGTATCTTATCCTACACTTGAAAACAGAAACATTTTAATTACTCAGAAACTGTACTGTCCTTTCTATTTTAAAATGCATTAAAAAAATTAATAATAGTGGAGTGCAAATGTCAGCATTATCGTGTGACATTTGTTTTAGTGATAATGCTACACTGTACTATGTGAAGACATTTTGGTGAAGAACCATTTTCTGGAGTAAATCTGAGCATATACATAAAAGTTATAAATTTCAGGAAGGATACCTTAAACTTTAGTTACTTGTTAGGTAAGGTAAAAAATATCGTTATTTGTTGCAAATTATATATTATTAAAAAGAAAATGTGCGGACGTTATCATGAATGTACGTGAATCACAAAAGCCTGAAACAAAAGCAGAAAACCAGAAAATTGCAGAAAACCAGTAATCAAAATAAAATAACTTACTGTATAAGAAAGTCCTTCATGGCTTTTTTAATGTCCAGTGTAGAAGTAGAGTACAATTGTGCAACACCTAACAGAAACAATACTACAGAAGTCCTGAAAAATATCCCAGAAGTTATAAGAATGCTTGTTTTGTAGAATTCGTTGATTTGTAGGGAGTCAATATACGAAATGCACATGATTGTACTGTATTTATAAGATCTGTCAACCACTGTTGACTCCTTTCAACTGCCAGAGGGAGTCTGTGCTTTTGATTAGGATTTAAGAAATGATACAGGTTTTGAAAATTAGAAAGAGCAGTTTTTAAAGAATGCCAGGTATTGATACAGTATCACAAAAGCAAAGCATATTTTACGTTTATTAAAGTTAAACATAGAAACTACTGTAATTAGATTTACAGGAGACTAACAATTGGATGATTATTGTATTTGTTAATGTTACTTTCATGAAATGCATTATTTGCTACCTGTGTTCACACTCCACAATGCTGAAGACTAAAAGTAAAAATAAAAGCCTTTGCTTCTGATTCTGCGTTTTTAATACAGGCTTATGTTGAACCTAATCATTTCTTTCTCAATGGGCAAAAAACTGAAAGCATTTATCTGACAACAGT